TTACCGAGAGAAATCTAAGCTAACCTAAATTACCTTGGTTGAGAAATTACCCTTAATCTTCTTTTAGTATATTTGGGTGAAATGTGAAGTAATTTCTAGCTGTGATGCTGCAAGCGTCTGAATAAATTCATCAGGAATATTTTTCTGTGAGAGGGTGTCCAGAAACTACATCTTCACACTTTATTTTTGTAATTACACTGGATAAATTTACGAATTTATAAGATAAATTGCTACTATTTTTCCTTTAGATTTAATTCCCACCCCTTTATGAGAAAACTCTGCGGTAAATAGCGGAAACTTCGTAAAAAAATTACTAGTACTCGTACGATTAAACTTGAGGTTCAACGAAAACTTTAACTGAAAATTTTTTAATTCAGTGCTGGTCCAAGAATAGAAATAACACGTGTTTCATGATTTTTTTAGCTTCTGTTGAGTGGTCAGCCGCACAGAAAACTGTGCTGCCATTACGGTGCGTCGAGAAAACCGGTTGCCAAAGTTTTATAGGGCATTGAGGCATCAAAAATAAAATAAAACTGCTCTCCAACCCATCAGTATTTAATCATTCCAGAAGCGTCATTATATATATGAACACAATAGCTGTATACTTTCTTACCCAAATAGTTTTTCCGATTTTTTCAATCATGTTTGGACACTCTTAAAATTAAACAACTCGTGTTTCCGAGAAGAATTCGATAATTTTTTGTATTTTTCTGTAGTTTTTGACTTCAATTCACTTGTTTGTAGATTCTTGAACGACTAAGATCATATTTGCTCTAATTCAGCATCAGTACATTAGTGTTTCCTATGCGATTAATTAAATTGGTCCAAGTCCCGTTAAGTGAAATAAAAAACTTAGTTATTTTGCCAATTCGCCAAAAGGCAAGAAGTGTAGGGTTGACGCTCGATGAGAACGCCTCCAAGAGTGTAAGTTTTGAAATTTTGTTCTCGCCCCTGACAGTCGCAATCATGCGACGATACATGGCTTTGATGATGGACAAAAATAGATTTATTTTAACTCCTTGCATAAGTTTCCCAGACGCACCCTTCAGGAGAATAAACTTGCCAGCTAAATATTGGCGTTTAACCAACATATGATGATTGGAAACCAAAATACTTAACTAAAACCTGAAATATTGATTAGGAAATTTATCCCTCAGACGCGTTTATAATACAGGTCAATTATGATTCTATTCGACATTCTTTATCGCTATGCTGATAATTTCATGAAATTATTGGTACTTTGTTTTTGGACATACTTTTCTGGCTGATATTTCTTCCACTGCAAGAACAGTAGCTGTAAGCAGTGAGTAAGCTCTGTTTTAAACAAATTTATTTGTTGCACCCTACCCTAATAAACACTCATGTCAGGTGACAAATTTCATACGTCACCACCCTGTAGCATCTCTCACGTCACCTTCCGTGACGTCATTGTAGTAAGCCTCTATATAAGCTCTTCAAGCTTACCACCAGTCAGTCATAGACCATGCAACACCTCTTAGCTGCAGTCCATTAATTGCAGCCTAACCTCAGACGCATCCACCACGTATATCGGCTCCGGCACTCGCTGTTCCTAATCGCGGTCGTGTCGTTAACTATACCTTCTGAACTACTGTTATATACCCCATCCTGTAACCAACCTATCTGATAATTACCCCAAGCGTTGCCGCTATCTCATTCTCCTTCTTATAACATATGGGCAATAATAAAAACCTATCGGAAATCGGGGTAATCTAATAGTTCATCTAACAATAAATTAATCAACGGATGTCATAGAAAATACTTCGTTGACAATTGTAAACCAATTCTTCGTGGGAGAGGGTCTCTCTGAATCCTGCGTCGCATCTCATATAATTCTTAACTTCTTTTAGTGCAATTGCAGGTGGGATCAACGTGGTGGGTGAACTTGTTGCTGCAGGATTATTTTGACGGGGAACCTTTGCTGACAGCCTACCGCTCCCCACACTTCATCGCCGAGACCGTCCTCGGCCTGTCGCCAACAATTTACAGGTGCTTCTACTGTGGACAAGATTAATATTAAATGCATTGAAAACATGTTATTAATTTGGTGCCGATACTCTTACGCATCATTTAATTGTCTTTCATTATTTGATTGTCATCATTAATTGATTTTGAGGCCTACCTGCCACACAAAAATATATCATTTTTTTATTTTGCACAAATAAACATCTGCTTCAATAAGATTTTTATTATTATTATTGAAACAGAATAATTAACACGGTATTCATTAAGATATAAATTATGTACATAATTACTGTACTTTTCCAGCTTCGAGAGACCCGAACTACTAAAAAGCGTCCGCAGCGTTATAATCGTCCGACACCCGTTCGTACGACTTGTGTCGGCATACCGCGACAAAATAGAGTCCTGCGTCGACAAAGAGTGAGCAGAGTAAAAGATTAGAGAAACTCCTTGGACATCATTCATAAGATTTTTCCAAGATTATTTGTACTAGAATACTTATTACGAGATTACTTATACTTACACGAGATTCTCAAATATATGCTGCCTGCTTTGCATATAAATATTGATTAGTGATTCTTGTTTGAATTTGTTTTAGACTTTGACGTTGTTTTTAAACCAAATAAATAATGTTATTAGGCATCAGTTAACAATTACTACATGGATAAAAAGCTTACACTTGTTAACAATTTCTACATGGAGAGTTTAAAAACAGCTTACACTTGTTAACAATTTCTAAATGGGAGTTGTAAAATAGTTTACACTTGTTAACAAAAATAGCTTACAATTGTTAACAATTTCTACATGGAGAGTTTAACAACAGCTTACACTTGTTAACAATTTCATCATGGAGAGTTGTAAAATAGCTTACAATTGTTAACAATTTCTACATGGAGAGTTTAACAACAGCTTACACTTGTTAACAATTTCATCATGGAGAGTTGTAAAATAGCTTACACTTGTTAACAATTTCTACATGGAGAGTTGTAAATAGCTTACACTTTTTAACAACTTTTACATGGAGAGTTGAAAAACAGCTTACACTTGTTAATAATTCTACATGGAGAGTTGTAAAATAGCTTACACTTGTTAACAATTTTTACATGGAGAGTTGAAAAACAGCTTAAACGTGTTAATAATTCTACATACATAGAAAGTTGAAAAACAGCTTACACTTGTTATCAATTTCTACGCGGAGAATTGAAAAGAAGCTTACACTTTTTTTCAAAAGTTATTACTATGCACAAAGAGCCTGGGCTTTGCTTAAATTGTAACATTGAAGCAGTGTAACTTTTCACGGAATTTTCCTGGAGACATTAAATAACCAAAGAAATAATCATAATAGCAATGCATTGAATTACCTTCAAATTTCTTGGCGTGACGACTGACGTAACTGTAACTGATGGATAAAATTTCGTTTTTCAATAAAAGGCTTTACCCTTCACCTAGATTTTTGGGTGAAACGACTCCAGATTTTACCTAGATTTATTGATTACAATTTACATCATCACACACGTAGATATTTTTAGCAAAGCGAACACACTTAAATCTTCCGTTGTGATTCATGCTATTATTGAGAAATGGATCTCGTTTATGTGCCATGATAATTTGATATTTTATTTCTACAACGTCTTCTGTTATTTTCGGCTTCAAAACAATCAACTTTTCAGTGCCTGCTACGCCTACAAGTATGGCTTCACTCGGCAGTCGGTTCCGCGCAGCTTTAGCGCCTTCGTCGAGTTTCTAATTCGCACAATCCCAGAAAGCGGACCTTTTCGCGGCCAGCTCATTAACGACATCGACAGCCACTGGCTGCCATATTACATAAACTGCGCGCCTTGTGATATTAAGTACGACTTCATTGTCAAGATGGAATCTTGGCAGGATGATGTGAGGTAAAAAATATTCATTTTATTTAGTTTTCTGGACGAAAGGGTACGTAATATTGATTATAAAGAGCATAGATTTTATTTAAACTTACAAGCTTTCCACAACTGGATTAAGGCGTAGTTAAATTTTCGAACATTTATCTGTGTCTGCCATCAAAAATTCAAACCTTAATTTAGAGCATTTTGGAAGATCCTAGAAACTTAAAATTTGACATGCATGCTTGTGCTGCCTAACAATTCAAGATTTGATCATCAGAAGTAATAAGTTTATTGGTAAAAATCGTTAGATTAATTAACTGACTTTCGTATGGAGAGAAAAAATTCTCGTTTGGGAATCGAGTTTTTTTTTGTCGAACAACCAGAGTTTTAGCGTGCCGTACTGCTGAGATTTTCTTTTAATTATTAAAAGTATTGAACTAATAAATATAAAAACATTTTTAAAAATAACGTTTTGCTGGTGGTTACAAAACTAAAACAATGAAATAAAACGAAAAAAACTAAAAAAAAACACATTTTCTTAACGGACAAAAAAGAAACATTAACTTTTTCAGTGAGTTGTCCTAAATTTTATTCTTGACCTAAAATGAAGTATAAATTTTATTTTTTCAAATCTTATGCTGAGAAAACACAATTAACGTGGGGCAGGCTCTCTGAAGAACTAAATATCAAATATTTTGAGGAGCAAGTATTATGAATAGAACTTGGGTAATGGATGTCTTAAAGCCCGCCTCACGTTTTTTGTGTTTTCTCAGCATATGATTTGAAAAAATAAATTTTAAAAATGATTTTAGGTCAAGAATAAAATTTAGGACAACTCACTGAAAAAGGTTAATGTTTCTTTTTTGTCCGTTAAGAAAATGTGGTTTTACAAATTTTTTTTTATTTGTTTTATTTCATTGTTTTTAGTTTTGTAACATTATTAAAAAATTTAGCCATTAGTTCCACGTCAATATCTTGACTGGCTAATAACCGATAGTTTTTAACATTTTGATTCTCAATAAAGGCAATAAATAATGAACGCTCATATCAAGTTGCACGAGGCCTTCCGCGTCCTAGGCATGACATTAACGTGTCTCATGTGCGGATTGAACGGTATAATCTCTCCCTATAATTTTCGTTTATTTATTTCAGATTCGTCCTAGAAAACTTCAATTTCACATCTTTTAGAGAAAACGAACGCATTAATGCTTCTAATGCCACCCACGTTGCACTCGAATATTTTAAGGTACGAGGTAATATATAATAAAGCAAGTTTTCGTTAGTGGAGTTACATTAAAACTTGTTAAGCGATTTGTAAAAATGAAGCAAAAGAAGGAAATACACAACCATTCATTTTTTATTTTAATATGACAGATCATTGCTTCTTTCGTTTAGATTTCACCGATTTAATTGCTAACTACCGCCTATGATAACGTCCAGTCTCATCGAGTTCATTGAAGAGATGTAGCTAAGCAATTCCACTGTACTAATTAAATAAGACGGTATTATTGAAATTCCACAACTTTGTGTGCAGTGTAATGAATCTTAGTTCCACGCGGAAGAACATTTCTATCGAAGCATATTTAATTATTTAAATTGTAGTCGTTTTATTAAGCCATATACTTATTAGGCTTAATCTTCAGATTGAATGTTGATGCGAGTTGCATATTTCATACCTAAACTTAACGGAGTAAGGATCGATTGATATGAGCATTACTGGGCTCAAATTGTGGTAAATATCAATTTTTAAAATTGATTTTTTATTTTTCAGGACGTCGAACCACACTTAATCAGCAGCCTGTACTCGGCATACTTCGCTGACTTCGAAATGTTCGGTTATAGCCCTAACGGCTTTTATAATATTTATAAATAGTTTGATATTTTGTTAATGGAAAGAAAAACACAGATAATTTTCATGTTTTTCACGTTATTATAATCCCAACAAAGTTGAGTTAAATCTCTGGCATCTGTTACCGATTAAATCTTCGGCGCTCTTCGATTTTCTCACAAGAAATTGAGTAATAAGGTGTAATGTTGTATGTAGGCTGCAAATTCCCTACTTGTATTCAGACCATAGAGATTAAGTATACCGGTGCTGATGTAGGCCGAGGATGGTAATAGTAGCCTTGTCAATTCCGGCTTGCGTGTTGGTGCCTCGCTTACAGGGGATTACCTGACCATCGCCTAGGTGAGCTATATTTAGAGTTACTGTTGAATACCGTTACTGTGTTATGCGTTACCGTGTTCCGTGTTAATTTTACTGTGCCTTAGTGTGTGTTTACTATAGGTGGCTTATATTGTAAATAATTAATCTGGCGTCATGAAAAGCCGTTGGTAGAATAGACATTAGGCGTATTAATTAACAGTGTATTTACTATGCTTATTTCTCTTCTAGGATCAAGAGCTTTGTCCCTCAGTTAGCTCGCTCTCTCTCTCCTCCGCGTCTTAGTTCAACAACATTAGGCTACTTGTTGAACTTCTTAGTTAATAAACCTTGAACTTGCGCATTTGTTATAAATCCCGTCACGCCTTGAGCATTGCTTCGTAGCCAATTGGATAGCTGTTAACCTATTCAGCTTCCGGTAATTGGTGGGTGAGACAACTATGGTCAATACGAACCGTTAAGTGAGGTTACCGGCGATTGGTGGTCAGAGGCTGGTTCATCACATAAGGTTATGGTTGAAATTACTGTTTGTTCAGCATTTCAGTCGCAGATTCGCAAGACTTTTGCAAAATAAAAAAGTTTGAGTTAAGGGTATTAACAAATAATAGCACTTTCCGTGGGTTGATCTTCCATAATTTTAGACTAACCATGAATTCGGAAATAACTATTCCGTTCTCTAAATAATGAGTGCTCGTCTCAAACTATACACAGTACAACTCGTGAGATCTGTGATTACATAATCACGAGGAAACCTCAGCAGAAATATATGTTAACTGTCCATGTAGAGGAAATAGTTGCAAAACGAGTGCATGAATCAATATAAAGTTAATATCTATGTTCAATGCTCGGTCGAAAAGCACAATAAGAAATGCACGTGTCGGAGTTAGGTTTGAATACAACAATATTGTATCATCTGTTCACAATCATTATCTATTGAAAAATCGCAATCTTGATTCCACGCTCGTTTTTGACAATTTACTCCACACGTTGCAAAAATAACGCAGCCAAAAGCACAATGAATCGTAGTCCCTGAGCCCATTGAGGGCTTTTTCAAGTATGAAGATCCCTTCGGCGTTTCCTGAAATATATTGCAATACTTCCGTGCGCTGAACAATTTCTATGAAAAGTACAAGAGATTAAAATAGTAATTATAATTACTCGATTCTATGTAAGGAAAAGATAATGATGATTGTAGATACTTGATAGCTGCATACTTTATTTAAATGTATTCATGAATATTCCAGCGAAATATAGCATACTTTAATACACTTAACAGCAAAAAAAATATACAGCAGTATGACCTAAAAGTAACTTTTCCCTGATTTCAAGCTGAAGTAGTAGTCTAACGGCCAGGGGCTTTACTATAACGTCTCGGTTAGGAAACAATCTCTCACAGGAATTCTAAAATAGATGTCGCTTTCAAGATGGAATTCAAGATTGTCGAATATTTCTATTATTAAACTCTCATCACCTTCGAGGTGTCTGATATATAAAGTAGACATCCATCCAAAGATTGCAAAAAGCTGTGCGATATACATATCTTGACGAGACGAAGTAAATAGGAGTGGCAGATGAATAACAATAACAACCCAGGCACTTTTGCAGATGTCGCTTACACGAGACGCCTAGACGAGAGTGACAGAGCCGCCTAGACGAGAGTGACAGAGAATGCAATGTTTTTCTCGTCTCTGTCTCGTCAGGCGCCTAGACGAGAGAGACAGAGAAGGCAATGTTTTTCTCGTCTCTGTCTCGTTAGCCGCCGAAACGAGAGAGACAGAGAATGCAATGTTTTTCTCGTCTCTGTCTCGTCAGCCGCCTAGACGAGAGTGACAGAGAATGCAATGTTTTTCTCGTCTCTCCGCCGAAACGAGAGAGACAGAGAATGCAATGTTTTTCTCGTCTCTGTCTCGTCAGCCGCCTAGACGAGAGTGACAGAGAATGCAATGTTTTTCTCGTCTCTGTCTCGTCAGCCGCCGAGACGAGAGTGACAGAGAAGGGAAATTCAAGTAATCCTGCCAACACAACAACTTAGCTCTACAACTGAGACTCGCCGCCGGACACAGCGTGCTCTGAAGTGGGCCTCAGTTTAAAAAATTTCCTTTCAAATAAATGCATTCCTAACTTTTTTACAATCTTTACGTTCAGTTAATTATTAAAATAAATAAGACAAAAGACAATGGCACTTGAAATATTTTAGGTTAAAATTGTATCTTTCGTCGATAAATATATTCTCAATGCATTTGATAGCGAAGAGACGTTAATTGTGACTTATTAAGTACTTATTAAAGGCTAAAGCATATCACTACTTAACCTGAAACATTGAGATTTTCAACAATATTTAATGGATAAAAGAAACATGCTAGTTGATCGCTCTACCTCCATGCTCTTTCAATGAGCCTAAATAATACATAACCATTTCCCAACCTGGAAAAACCATAACAACGGTTTCATGATAATCCATAACTTTCTGTACAAATCACTTCTCTCAGTTGAAATATTAGATGTTATTGACGAACTTAGGTTGCAGTATAGGTGCTAACTCCAGTATTAATCAGTACAGAAACAAGAGATATTCAGTTGTTAATCAAGAAATAAAATGAGAAAAAAGTTTTTGCAGTGAATGGCAGCAATCCGGTTTTAATATTCAACAAGGTCAGCTAAAATCATTTACAATCTTCTTCAAACTGATGATTTACATTCAGTCTGGACTAAAAATGTCTACAATTATTCAATATTCATCTTAATTATTACCAGGAAATCCATCTTACTAGTGAGTCTACACCACACAGGTAAAGCCTGACTCGGACCAAATAGCAGCGAAATTTTCACCATTTCTCTTAGTTTCATAATAAGGGACATAGTGCAAGTCAGGCTGAAAAAGACTAGCTGTGGGATTGAAATATTAAATTAACTTATATATTATGACTAATATACTAATTAAGCACAAGCGTTTTCACACTAATTTGCATAAATAACTTCATAGGCGGTTTCGTAACGCGGTTTCACGTTAACACAGTTTCGCGTTAACACAGTTTCGCGTTTACACAGTTTCACGTTTACACGGTTTCGTGTTAACATTGTTTCGCGATTACACTGTTTCGCGTTTACACAGTTTCGCGTTTACACGGATTCGCGTTTACACAGTTTCACGTTTACACGGTTTCGCGTTTACACAGTTTCGCGTTAACACAGTTTCGCGTTTACACAGTTTCACGTTTACACTGTTTCGCGTTTACACAGTTTCGCGTTAAAAGTGTTTCGCGTTAAAACTGTTTTGCGGAGAAAAACATAGGAACCTCTTATCAATTAGGAACGGACCTTTTTCATTTGGCTTACTGAAAATAACTTCATACAAATGTTAACTGGATAAAAAGACGATAAAAATATAATTTTAATAGTTGGACTTCAATGAAATATCAATTAATAATTAAATAGTTTACCAATGGATTAAAGTCAATAATGGCAAACATTGCCTCGTTAAACGAAAATTGAGAACCCTATAAATGTCCGCTAGTTGAACAAAGTTTTGCGTCTGTTAAACGTTCGTAAAATTTCGTAAAACTGAACGGCGTCGTATCGCTGGTTCAAGCCAAGAATTTTCTAGTTAATCTTAAAATACATCAAACTATACACGTTGCGTACTAACCTACACTATACACAGTTCTTATAAACATACTACCAGATATGCATTTCATACAACACCTTGAGATTGCCATATACCTTAAGCTAACCCGTTTGCTTGTGCGGAAAATTTAAAATGAACTTTGATACAAAGTTATCACAAACCAGACTCTTCACCTCATCCATTTTTGTGCGGTCACTGCCATGCTTCGGGAACAAGTAACTCGAAAAAGAAGGATACGATATGTCTTCACTATAAAGTTATGTTGATATTATAGGGTAACAGCGCGTGACGAACCTACATAAGGCATTAAATACGGACGGCAAACAAAATACGGTAACACACAAAGTCCGCTTGTTAGCTATGGACACGAGAAAACGATAGGGTTTAAATCACAACGAAGAATATTAGGTTAGGTCTAAAATGTCTGAGCAACAGTTTTGGATAGGTTCTTCGAAAATATGTAGACAACTGGAAATACATTTCCAGGAAGCATTTACAGTAGTCAAGAAATGGAACATCAATTAAAGATGTAGTCCAATATTTCAACTACATGGGATTTAATCAAAATTGTTTCAACAAACATTCAACAAGTTGAAACACATTCTGCCCCGCGATCCAAACAAGAAAGTGACGAAGGACGACTGGACGTTACATAAATTCGATCAACAGTAAAAAAATAATAACAGGCATTCACATTCAAAATTCTATTGACATAACGTCGAAATTAATTTTTAAAAACAAAATAATTTCTTCTGATAAGAGACTAACTAAAAACGAGCAACAATGACTCATTGAGAGTAAGAAAATACCCAAAATAAGTAGAATCATGATTTGACTGATGTTCACTGAAATATAAAACGAAGATGACCAACAAAAATATTTAAAGTACGACAATAACTCCCGATAGGAGGATAACACACTGTTAGTAATTAATTAAACCAAATTATTATGCTAGAACTTGCACTTGGTGCTGAAATAGTGGGATATATTATGCTAAAAATAATGTAAGTATAAGAAGACGTAATTGTGCTGCTCTTTTTACGTTATCGGTGATATTTCTTCGCCCAGCCTGGAATTTTTACATTTACTTTTTTCAAAAACGCATTCCCAACTGACGCATTATAATTTTTAATTTCAGTTAATGATTGAAGTAAAGAGACAAAAACGATGCCACTGGAAATATTTTAAATCAAAATTGTTTGTAAAATATGAAGGTTTAGGTGATCGTGGTTTGAGCGGCGCCATTGTTGCGCAGAAGTTCTTGTTGCGATGCGTCGTTCGGTGCCCGACGGCGCTTGAAGAAACCAAGCTGTAAATATATTCTCTTATAAGATTAATGATGACTGATGTTTTTACAAATATTTAAAAATGTACGATTTAAAATTAAATACAAGAATACAATATAAAAGAAAATGATTTAAAAATTTTATATACAATTTTAATTTTATTTTTGTACATGAAACCACTGAATTGTTTTACAATAAAAGATCGCATAACAAGGTACTTGTCTGAATGGTATTGACTGATAAAATGTTTCTCTGGACTCCTCAATTTAGAAGTGGTCTCAATTCCCTCATCTTTCTTTGTCATGTCATTCCTTCGTTTAAAAGGTGAACAATTTTTCAGTTTTTTTTAAATCCAATTCTCTTTCTTACTCATTTTTGGAACACTCGGTAATCTCATCACAATTGGTAGTCTTGAACCTTTTTGTTTGTTTTCATGAAATGAAAAACTATACACATGGTGACATGGGTAGTTTTAATTCATATATGTGACCGATTTTAGGCTTCTACAACACTCGTTTGGCTTCGTTACATATTGAGAATAATTTCACATGATTATTTATCGAGTAATTTTGTAGATGATTTATTTATTTTACCGCCCAGAGGATGAGGATGAGAAGCGCTAGCACGAAGAGCCCCGCAAGGACGCTCCCCAAGATTATGATCCACTCCATGGAGCTCTGGAAGGGCTCGACGCTCGCCCGCACCATGGAGCTAACGGACCCGCTCCACATCTGCACCGTGGAGTCCCCCGTCCCCATTGGAGCAACCACCGCCCAATCAGGAACGCTGGTTCCGGTGACGTCATCTTCGACGTTAACGAAACCCGGACGCGGATGCAGAGTGCGGACTATGAGGCGTGATGAAATAGTGACTTCGCTCATCCCGAGCTGCAAAACGATGGAGGAACATAGTAAATTTATAACAGGAGACGTAACCACACAACGTTACATTTAATATACGTTTAAAAATTACATTTTAAAGACAACACTTCTAAAGAATCCAGTGTCTCCAACGTTAAAGATGTACAATGAATTTCTCATTTTATTTTCGAATATTGAATAAATTAATTTTTCAATTTTTTTTAATTTATAAATTTTTTCAAAATTCTGTCAATTGATTCATGCATTGCCTGCGATTTTACAGTAGTGTGCCAAATTTCAGTTCAATTGGACAGATAAAAGTGTGTCAAGTATGTTATAAGATTTGTAGCTGACAAAATTATTTTTTACATTTTGTAATATCACAAAAAAAATTATTTTTAAAATCATTTATTTTTTCATTTGATTCTTGCATTGTCTCCAACTTTACGCAAGTGTGCAAAATTTCAGGTCGATAGGATAAGTAGAAGTGTGTTAAATTTTGATTATAAGATTTGTAGCAGACAGACAAACAAGCAAGAAGTGAAATTAAAGAGAAGTATTCTAAGTGAGTTACTGAGCTTATTACTTTAATCTTAAACTGAACACAAACGATTTCTTCTAGTTAACGCGATCAAACGATAGGAGACTTAAATATATTATACCCTAGAATAAATAAAAAATTACTGGGCATATTACATACTATAGTCTTCAAGTGAACACAAGCAATTTCTGCTTGTGAACACGATCAAACGTTAGGAGACTTAAATATATTATACCTTATAATATAAAAAAGTTACTGAGCTTATTAATATAATCTTAAACTGAACACAAGCGATATCTTCTAGTTAACGCAATCAAACAATAGTAGACATAAATATGTTATTCCCTGGAATAAATAAAAAATTACCGGGCATATTACTATAATCTTGAACTGAACACAAGCAATTTCTGCTTGTGAATACGATCAAACGATAGGAGACTTTAATATATTATGCCTTACAATACATATAAGTTACTGAGCTTATTACTATAATCTTAAACTGAACACAAGCGATATTTTCTAGTTAACGCAATCAAACGATAGGAGACTTGAATATATTATACAGGCATATTACTAAAGTCTTGAACTGAACACAAGCAATTTCTGCTTGTGAACACGATCAAACGATAGGAGACTTAAATATATTATACCTTATAATATAAAATAAAAGTTACTGGGCTTATTACTATAATATTAAACTGAACACAAGCGATATCTTCTACTTAACGCGATCAAACGATAAGAGACTTTAATATATTATACCCTAGAATATATAATTACCGGGCATTTTACTATAGTCTTGAACTGAACACAAGCAATTTCTGCTTGTGAAAACGATCAAAAGATAGCAGACTTAAATATATTACGTATACCTTAGAATATAAAATATGCGTTTAAAAATTACTTTTTAAAGGCAACACTTCTGAACAATCCAGTGTCTTGGATGTTACACATGTACAATAAATTTCTAATTTTATTTTCAAATGGTGAAAAAAAAATTATTTTTCAAAAATTTTTTAAGATATCAAAGTTTTGTAAATTTTCAAAATTATTTATTCTGTCAATTGATTCATGCATTGTCTCTGACTTTATGCAATTGTGCAAAATTTAAGATCAATTGGACAGGTCAAATTGTGTCATATATGGACTATAAGATTTTAGCAGACGAAATTATTATTTAATTTTTTTTAATAATGAAAAAAATGTTTAATTTATAAAATTATTTATTCTGTAAATTGATTCATGCATTGTCTCCAACTTTACGCGAGCGTGCAAAATTTCAGATCGATTGGACAGGTAGAAGATTGTTAAATATCGATTATAAGATTTGTAGCAGACAGACAGACAGACAGACAGACAGGCAGACAGACAGGCAGACAGACAGGCAGACAGGCAAACAAACAAGAAGTGAAGTTAAAGAGAAGTCTTGTAAAAACTAGTACAGAAAAGTACATGAATCGGCGACAGGCCTATCCAGGCCTATTCTTCAACGCCTAAGATACTATAGTATACTAAAAGACACAGTAGCAGCATCCGATATGGCTAGTGTTAGCAGGCTAGTGGGTAATATGAAAAATGTATTTAATTAAAGGATGGAAACAGTACGGCATACAGCCGAGCGGGAGCTATGATCGATCTATCTTTGATTAAAAATAACAAATGAAAACTAATTTATAAAAGAAACTGATTGTCAAGGTTTCACTTTTACTGTTAAGTAATTAATTTAGGTTAAGGGCATACACGAGGACAAGTATATTTCACCAGTTTTTATTCTGGTGAAATGTACTTGAATTTTTATTTATGTTTCTTAATACAACCTTGAGGAAAAATTCAATTTAGGGCCAAATAGAAGCATTAAGGTTCGCTCCTAAATATCATTAGAAGAAGCGGGAAAAAAAGGCTGTAAGATTAATTATATAACTTGGAATTTGAGCAGCTCCTACGATAGTCAATATAAATTACTTTACATTTGCAAGACAAAATACGTTTTGAAAACAAGAAAATCAACATTGCACACTAAATTTTTATTCCAGCGAAGAAATCACCGTTAAATATAATCTTTCAAAGAAAAAGCTCACCTCTTCAATGGTGTCGATCCAGAGCCGTGACTGGACCCTAACAACGATGTGTTCTCCAGCCTCAAGATTGCGGACAAGACAGATCATCTTGGAGCAATTACTTGCACCGCACGATAACGCGTCCATCTCAGAGTCTCTTCGTCCACGATGCGATGGCGAGGAATCTTGCAACAGCGGCACATAACCGGCAACGGAAGGTGAATCCACTAAGGGAAGCAGGTTTGATTGTGAAGCGTCTCGGAAAGGTAAGTATTTGAATAAAAGAGAGTAGGCAAATTCACCGAGTGATCTAAAAGAAGTGTTCGTATTTGAGGGTGATTTCGAATCCACTTCTGAAGTTTCCACTGGAGGAAAGTTTGTTTCTCTAAACGAGTTATCAGAAACATTACTCGAAAGTTTCAAAAAATCTTCTAAGTAGTGTTCAGAACCGCCTAAACTATCCGAAGTCAACTTTTTAGGGTAGGATTTGGTTGTCTCTTGAGTAGCTGGTCGATCAGAATAGTCACTTGATCGTCGAATTTTAGACGGCATTATCTGAAAAATAATAGTTATTTGTTAAAACATCTTTTTTGATACTTCACAGGCTTTTTTAGAAACAGGAGGGGCCCTTACGTTGGCCTATATATTAATAGAATATTCCTCTATTCGAAATATCATTCACTAACGTCGATGTCGAGGTAATTGAGATCGTTGCCAGGGACACTCTATCTGTCTATTTATTAATAAAATATTCCTCTATTATAAAAATCCTTCACTAACATCGATGTCGAGGTAATAGAGATCGTAGACAGGAAGACACTATCTGTCTATTTATTAATAAAATATTCCTCTATTCTAAATATCCTTCACTAACGTCGATGTCGAGGTAGTTGAGATCATTGACAGGAAGACACTCGAGTTGAGGCTCAACGGCAGGGGTTTTGGTGAGGTAGAGAAGCGGTTTCTCGCCAAATGTTCGGCTGGGCCACAGCAGCAGAAGCTGTGCACGGCGCAGCAGCGACGGGCCGCGGTTGGTCACTTCGTAAACGTGGGACACGGACGGGCCGATGTGGGACTCATGGGAGACGTTGCGACCTGGTCCGAGTAGACCCACGCCGAATAGGGACTTGTTGTAGACCATAATGTGGTCCGGCCATGAAATTCTGTGGAGAAATTATGGTTTAAAAGTGCAATGTGAATTATGTGACCTTGACACTAAACTATGATAATGCATGAGGAGGCATTTATTCATTTGATAAATAGCCAGATTACGTTTTCGTGCATGAGAATAACGAGGTAAGATAGGGGCTATTTGTGCGTTAAATACAATAATATGCGTTTTGGGACACTAACCAAATCGAAAATTTTGTTCATATAGTTGGGGCATAGTAAAGCAATTCAAATAAAGAAAAGAAGGTGGGATCGAAACACAAAATCTTATGTTCAAATTGGCATAATTGAATCTAATTTGAAATATCGAAAATAATTTTTTCATTCACAATTAAAGATGGAGGTAAAATGGGAGTTTTATGTTGAATGCGATTTATTTTGAAAAAGTTCTTTTTAGCGCATTTTCTCATTTATGGAAAAATGCACTACTGTGCTCGCCATGTCCGTTTGTCCGTCCGAGACTTCACGTTTTCGTCGATGAGAAAATGCTCTATCTGTCACTCACTGCAGTGAGTACTGAGTTATATTTTTTTAACTAAACTCCACTTTTGTTTGGAAATTGCTAACGGGATTGCGCGATTGTCAACGATAAAAATATAATATTACAAATTAATATTTCCTTCCAATGCCATAGTTTGGGTTTAGGGGATTAGTCATGAGTTGAAATAATTAATTGTTTAATTAACGTACTTTAGTTTCATATTTTTAACGGCGTTGGAGCTTCTGGACAGCAATGTAGACCAGTTCCATCATTCAAATCAATACGAAGTGTCCTCAATATACTCAGCAGTCCAAAATTATATATTAGTTAAAGGGCTTCCAAAAACACTCGTTAAAAATCGATCTCGCATCCGGTGCTTCGGTAAGGCCTTCACATTACTTTCAATTACAGATGCTCATTCAGTTACGGTCATTATACGCATTAAATTTGCAAATACTGCACGGTCTGAAGTAGCATTTTTTATGTAACCATGTTCAAGCTTTTTAACTGTGTGTTTCTTGCTCTTTTTAATTGAAAACTGACTTATTAGCATGATCTTCAAAGCTGAGTTAATTAAAACACCAAGAGACCAACAAACTTGAGCGAAGAGATTTTTTTAACTCATTTCAAATTCTTAAAAGTGTCTAGTGAATTTCTAAGACCTATGGGCAATCGTATAAACAGTCAATAGTCTCAATGTAAACCACACAATTTCAGAAATCCAGCCTGTGGTGGAATGCATTTCAACAACTAACCGGTAATTATCTCATGGTGACAAGTAAAATTGACAAGAATCTCCATTATTGACGCAAAAGAGACACAATAAAAGTCAGAACCCTCACCCTCGTATTTCGACATCTGCGAGCGTCTTGACAGGAAGAATCAGTTTAGCGGAGTTGTCACTCTTGCTGCTGATAGGCTCCTCGTTGCTGGAGTTCACTGTCACTTGGAACTCCAGTGCGGAGGATAAAATTAAGTCTGGAATGGGCTGGAACATCAGGTTCAGCACGATGCGGCCGGATGACGGGAACGGGTTTCCAATTTCGCACGATATCTGCAGAAGTTTATAGTTCGTAATTTCGATATAATTGTTACTTTCCGGTAGTATTATAAGGGAAGGATATTAATTAAAAATACTAGCATTAGAAGCGCTTAAAAACAGTGATACTAGGAAAATTACGTAAATTTGTGAGTCCCACACTTAGGTTATTTTAGTGCTAATTTTTCACTTTATTCGCGAATTAAGCATAGGAATGATTAATGACAACAAGAATCGATCCGTAAATGACCTTTAAGGCAGAAAATAGCAAAGCACGGCTTATTTCACATGAAGGCAGGTAATTTCTTTAAGGAATAATTATTGTTATAGTGGAAATAATAAGTTGGAGTTATGTGTGAACTGTGTCAAGAGAATATTCACCGACTTCAATAGGAATGATAGCATTTAGCCTTTATAAGACCCCTACAAATAAGATGGCAGTGAATTACACAAAAATTCATTCAAGGGAGCCAAAAGTATTTTGTGCTCCAGCAATTAAGCTTTTCCTAACTTGTTCAAATACGGCCTACATCACACATGGCCAAGAATTCGAACACAAATAAATGAATCGAAACGAAGTCCTGCATGCACATTGAAACAGAAGTTATATGGGCTCATTATGTTAACAAAGTTTTTTTTTTTAATCAGAAGAGTATTCAGAAATATACAATCAAAACTTTGGATGTGAATAAGATCAAATTGATAACCACAAGAAACAGTTGCGATTCTTGTCGTACCTCCTCGACGTGGTGATCAAGCCTCAGCTCGACCAAAGCTGCAGTGCAGACAGGTGTGATTTCTGCAGGAGCTTCGACTACATCGAATTTATTGAAGCGCACGCCAGGGGAACCGAGCGATACAAGGGCGCGTGAGATGTAGGCGTCCTCCCCGGAGTTTGTAATCGTCAAGCTGACCGAGAGGGGGGCCTTCGATCCGGACACGTAGCGCGGACCTTCCGGTGCTCCAAGTCTGTACGGGAAAAATCTTTGCAGATAAATAAAATTTTGTGACAAACAAGTTGAAGCCTCAAATTAGAGAATACTATCAATACAAACACATTAATTAGAGCTCGGATAATTATTTAGAACTTATAGAAGAAATTATATTAGGATTGCACAATAGAGTGTCATAAAAATACATTTATGAATTGAATATAGCATTTAAATGATATGCGTTTAAAAATTACTTTTTAAAGACAAAATTTATAAAGAGGCCAGTATCTCGGATGTTAAACATGTAGAATGCATTTTAGAATGCATTTCTTATTTTAGTTTTATATATAAAAAATTATTTCTAAATTTATTTTAATATTAAAAAATTAAATGTTTAAAATTATTTATTCGGTCAATTGATTCTAGCATTGTCTCCGACTTTACGCAAGTGTGCAAGATTTCAAATTGATTGGAAAGGTAGAAGTGTGTTAAATGTCGATTGAAAGATTTTTAGCAGACAAACAAATAAACAATAAGAAGTGAAGTTAAACTGTTAAAGAGAAGTGTTGTAATAAAATAGACTAGGAAAGCGAAGGTAAGCTTATCACCAAAATCCACTTAACTGAACTCATACTTTGACAACTACATGACCTGAAATGAAATGCACACATTACATTAACAACGATAAACTTACAGTCGAAGCATGGCCCCCAGATCAGGCAAGCAGAGGCCGTCTTGGCCGCAGTTGTTGCGGATGTGTACAAGAGCGGACACAGCTCGCGGGTTGTCTGCTGTGTCAGGAGGCAATATGGGGGGCAAGTCTCCCGCGTTGTGGGGCTGAGAAAAACTTCTGTAGTCTTCAACGATGGGACTTTGCCGACGAAAGCGAGCACTTCTGCGAGATCCACCGGAAATTTCTGAAAACTTATGTCGGACGCTAAGTTCTCTATTAATAGATTTAAAATTGGGATTTCCAGCATTGGTTTCGATAAATCGTGAATTCTTTTTTCGAGTCAATCTGACTCCGCCCAAATTCAAAGGCTCATGAGCGTTGTTTTCTCGATCCTCATGAACAGATTTGTTATGGTAACCATTATAGTTTTCTAAATGACTAACGTTAACCGAAGATTTGCGAGAGGATTTGTCCGTATGCCTCCGTATTCTTAATACACGATTGTAATTTTGGTCAAGATATTCACTTTTACTTTGTTGACCAGTTCGATAATTATTGATATTGGACTGAGGATAATTGGACGCACGAAGCTTGCCATTTTGATTTTTATAGAAACTAACGTCAGGATGACCTACAGAATCAGTTGTTAGCGGGGTGTTCAGAGAATTATAGTTCAAGATCGAAGGACGAAACGCTTTCGTGGCAAAGTTTGCACCGTAGTTGGTTGGAGCGGCGTAAGCAGCAACAGGAGGACGCGAGCTGAAGTCGGACGGAGTTTCAAAGTAAGAAGCTTGAGGAACTTCGCGGTGCAGGAGCTCGTAGGTAAGAGAGGCCTTGAGAGGGCTCAGTTTGTCTTGGATTTGAGGCTAATGGTGAAATAAAAAGTGCCATCTCAGAATAAACACAGAAAAACCAACTGTAATAGTGGAGAAAAATATATAACTATTGTATTTGAATTATTCATCGCCAATTATGACAAAGAATAGAATTGAATTAATTACAAAATTAGGTTAATTCAAGGAATTCATCATAATGGAGTTTTTGGCAAAAGCATTGGTTTCTGTTAAAAAACGAATGAATCGTTTGAAATAAACTGAGGCATTGATTCCATGATACTCAAAAAATCTTCTGGAACCCAATTTGGTATCATGCCTAATACCCATAGTTGTAAGCCAAGGTCTACATCAAATACCGTGACTCACAAAGAGAACACAATATATACTGCGCTAGAACTGTCACAATATCCACAACAATTATTTAGAATAGACATCAACGTCAATTAATCAATGCTAATTAATCATTTATGATGACAGTGATGCGCAACTCACCGAGACGTAGACCCAGTCGCTGTCGCACGTGAGTCGACCGCCGCTGAGCTGCACATGGAAGGTCCTGGACGACGCGCCCTCCAGCGCCAGGAAGAACAGCCGCGGCAGCCCCACGATGGGACCGCTGTCCAGCCGCAGCTCCACCACCAGCACTGAGAACCAGTAAACCGTGAAGAAAGATGAATATTTCAGCCCGTCTTGATGAATTATTTTGTACAAGCAATGCATTTCCGCCCGTTTTAATGAATTATTTTGTACAAGCAATGCTGATAATCTACTGAAATTTTCGTAAGAATACCGTTACTAGAATCTAGAGAGATTTCGTGAAAATTAAGGAATTAACTATTAACTGTGATATTGAATATCTACTTCCAGCAAGAAGGTGATCCATCATATGGTAGTGAGTGAAACATTCGATTCAACTAACAAACTTATAATTAATTTTCAAGATATTTCAAGTGAAATGGAATAATTAAATCTTATATTTCAAGTGAGTAACACCAAATTGGATTTTTCGCCTGGAGAGACGTCAGCAGTAAATTCGAATATGAAAAACATTTGTTCAATTTATAAGGATTTCTAGGTAACTGCAGCAAGAATCAACATCATCTTTTAAGAATATTGGAGCGATTTGTAATACATTTTCACGTATTATGAAGCAGTTTGAGAAAATTACTCGCTTTGAGCACATTCTCTTAAAATTCGATTCTGTTTGCTCTATTTGGATCATGTGAATTATGATAAGAATGACCAGAAGGCTGTGCATTTCACTCCTATAATGAAAAAATCATCCAGGAAAATAAAGGGTAAAGTGACTTAACGGAACGGGCGAGTCTTAACTGTCCTGACAATAATCCGTAGCCAACCAGGCACGCAATGTCTGATGCAAATCACTCCTTCAATTCCTCCATATAAATCACTGGATACCTCACAAATGATTCCTCGAGTCTACCATTACCGAGTATGCTAATGCGCCCTCGGGTATACGCGGCAATATTCAACACGTGCGTCAATTCTAAGATATTTTGTCAGCCGGACTTTGATAAATGTATATTAAATAGTATTTTTCTTCTCATTCAAAAGTGTGATTCAGAATAAACTTCGACGCCAACATTAAAGTAAGGAGCTACATGGTTTCGAAAGCGATAATTACACCAAGTTTTAACCATTATCAAGCGCTGGCAGAATAAGAGACACTTTTGAAATGATGGATTTCGATTTGTATTTTTAATAAGTAAACACTGGTGTTCTCAAGCAGTAAATTTGGGTTAAACTTGGAAGCTGCTTCATATATTTGGGCGAGGGCATTCTTGAGTTATTTTATACAGATGAAATATATTTCCATCTCATAAAGCTTGGCTCGATATCTATACTTTCATATAATTTCATGGAACAGGTCTGCCACTGGCACCATTATCGCATGGTATCGCGGGTAAAAAAAGAAACTCAATATTTCATAAAATTATTTTGTTACGTGATAATCCAGAATTTAACCTATCAATGTAATTTAGTTAAATAATCCCGACAATAACCTATCAATATAATATAATTATTCTTATGCAAAAACTTATTTTGTCTTAGTATTATAGGTAAAAAATTAATTATTCTCAGAAAAATAACACATGAATATGTCGGCAAAGCAAATACATTCGGTAGGAATAGGACTCGAAGCCAAATAGATATGACAATGCCTTTATCTCTGTGACAGGTAACAGCTCGTGTTGACAAGCGACGACACGCCTCAAAACAACGCACGACAATGCCTACATGTTCCTCTCCCTTCAATCCAACACCCCTCGATCTCTCCAAGAATACATTTGTTTAAGAACTTTTCGTTGTTTTTGTTTTAGGCGTAACATTTTCGATGAAATAACAATCCATCAAGATCCGGCAGTACAAATAATAAAACCGTACTTTTTATCATTTACAGGAATGTAGTAAGTCTTGAGTGTTAATGCAAATTCACTCCTAGGTCTCCATCTTGTCTTGAGAAATTTTCTCAAGAAGCCAAGTCATGAAAAATTCGTCAAAACTGAAATTAAATGCAGAAAGAAATTTTCACGAAGTATTCAGAAGTCTGCTTCGTCTTTGTTTCCTTGACAGCAACACATGATTTTCGAGTTGTAAATATAATCAGTAGAGACTACTTGTGACACAAAATAATCGACTTGGAAGTTCCATGCTCCAAGCTACGGCAGATTTCGCATTTGTTTAATCAAATTATACTTGAAATGTGCCATTGTTTGAAATTCCATGCTCACTATGATGGAGACTACCTGCTCAGGAGCAGGTTAGCATAAACTCTCACCTATGCTCACGGACATCAGTCACCCATGTCTGTAGGTGATTTGTATCATCAGTCACTTATTTCTGTTGGTAATTATTTTCATCAATCCTCTACGCCTCTGGGTGGTAAGTATCATCTAGCATCATGTCAATGGATGATTAGTATAATCAACGGCCGATGCTTGAGAGCCTCTTATTACTTTCACTCACCAATGCTTGAAGGCACCTTAGTGCCGCGATACTGAAGGCAATAGTGCAGAGGCAAGCAAGCAACGGATGTACCGTCCCGCAAACTGCAACCTTCGCTGCTCAGGTCAAAACCTGAATTCTCAGTGCCGCCAGATGTGCCGAAACTGACGACAGGGTCAATGTTGAATTAGAGTCATATCCCAACAGAATAAGCAATATTGTTAATAGAGAGCATAATATTTACTCAGTGACAACCGGCGATTACCGGCAAGTTGGCAATCAAAGTCATAGCATTTTCTAATCCAACAGAAATTAGTCCAGTCTTCACTGGCAGGTGGTATTTCTTTTTTATTCACCATTGAAGTGAGAAAAAAAATATGCGTTTAAAAATTACTTTTTAAAGACAACACTTCTAAATAATCCAGTGCCTTCGATGTTCCACACGTACAATGAATTTCTAATTTTATTATCAAATATTAAAAAAATTGTTTTTAAATTTTATTTTTAAAATAAAAAAAATAATTTTTTCAAAATTATTAATTCTGGAAATTGATTAATGCATTGTCTCCAACTTCACGCAAGGGTGCAAAATTTCAGATCGATTGGACAAGTAGAAGTGTGTTAAATATCAATTATAAGATTTGTGGCAGACGGGCAAACTAACAAACAAGAGAAGTGAAGTTAAAGAGAAGTGTTATAATTATCCGTAAATTTGTTTTAATTTTAGGAGCGGAATTTTTTTCGAGACCAAACTAGGTACAGAAGTTAGATGCCCTAATACTCACGATAGCGTTGACGAGACGTTCACGATGGGCCTCGTTCTTAAAACGAAGGCCAAACTAGACTCTTCGGCCCCGATGGCCAAGTCGGGATACTCGTTGCCGTCCAAATCGAGTCCGCCAGCAATCGACCAGCCAAACGAGTGCACCGCGACGCGAGTCAGGTCACCCGGCCACAACACCTACGTATCAGGGATACCGCGTCTACATGGAACAATGCTATATAATAAAAGGTAATAAACGTCGGTCACAAGATTTGAAACAGATTGATACTATTAAAATCTTAAGAGACCTGCAGATATCAAATTCAAAAGAGCGTCAAGCTATTTAGCATAGTTGAATGTTATTTTCATGGGAATATAGTGCAAATTTGGGAAAAATATTTTGATACAACTTGATAATTATAATATTTTGAAACAACTTGATAATAAAGTTCAAAGAGAACGCGTGACCTCAGCTGAGTGCAGAAAACAAGCATGTTGAAATTTAACAGACTTATAATTCTTTCTTGTAATTTTTGTACAATTAATAAACTAAAATTGCAAAAAATCATTTACCTGAGCAGGAGTAGCTTTGATTCCCTTCCTTGAGCCGAGGTAGATGAATACAGCGCCCGTGCTGATGCTCCCACCTTTGCTGTTATCGCTTCCTTCGCCGTCTTCTGTTCTGGGCGCCTGCGTCCGTGGAGCTCCAACGGCTATGTCGTCATACCTTGCAGCAAACAATCATCGTCCTTACTATAGCCACGCATCTTTACCCACTCATTCTACCTGATCGTGAATAATAAAACCCTTTGGAGGGTCAGATTATTCATAAAATCGATAATTAAGGACGTTAGAATCAGGTTTAAGATAAAAAGCTTAAATCGTGGGGTTAGGGAAAAACATCAAATTTATTTTTATTATTTTTTACAAATAAACTTGACCTGACTACGACCTAACCCCAGGAGCTTTCAATAGTATTTTCTAATCTAACCCGTACGTCCCAGATCCCTAACACTTAAAGGCTGAGCAGGTTAAACACTCGTCCAGGTCGAATTATTCATTCCTGAAATTGCCCACTGCCAAAGAGTCGATTATTCATAAATTACACATTCAATAATGAAAGGATCATATTATTCTAACCGGATTCTACCCAATTTACTGTATTATCCATATTCACAAATACTATGGACACGATCAAATTTAACCCAGTATCTCTATTTATTTCTTTTTTTTTTAATTTGGTATATTTGAATTAACGCAGTTTAATTGTGGATATTTATTCAACATTTTAAGCTTTAATAATGCTTTGATGCACATTCTGGACAAATAAAAATAGCCGAGTCCAATATCAAGTCAATTATCATCCGTGAAATAGAAATACATCTGTGAGTGAAACTTTTACCAGTCAAAGATACAAAAATTCCGGCCAGTCATCGGCATAGGAAAAAATTGTATTTCTCTTGCCACATAAGCAAAAGTTTTTCTTAAAGCCAAAAATAGGAATGCAAGACCACACCTGGAATTCGGCACTGGCAAAAAGTGCCGTATGGCCACGCAGTGATCAAGTAATGGCTGTAGTTACGGAATAACTGCGCCATCTCCATCAAAGCATACGACGGCATTCACGGCATAAGCTCTCTGCGAGAAATTCCTATGCATTTTGTCAGCGTCTAACTAGGCAACGCAGCGCCTTGTGTGACGGCATCTCTTGAATAGGCGCAATCGTCAGTCAATTAATTTCTGCTCCTTTGAAGCTTCTTAAAAAACTTTCTTAAAAGCCGAAAGTTAAATTGTGAACCCGATAATTAGTATAATATTATCTTTATAATGATCTCTCCAAAAATTTTATTATTATCTAGATAAGATCATTTTATAGTTTTACTGAAATACGGAAAGGCTGAAATTTGTTTTTCTTGGAATTAGTTTTGATTGTGGTTCCAGTGCAACTGTTCGATGAAGAAACTCGACCTTCAATGAAACACCTGGCATTTTTTTTCGGCATGCACATTCTTATTTCCAGCGAATGAGAAACGGGTTAGCAAAGAACATGACTGTCCAATTCATTAAATAAAAGATTTAAAATTTTATTCTATCAAAATGGCAGTGTAAATGAAATGGTCACATAACCAACCATCCTAAGGAAACCAACCCAGTTTGCTGCCTAGTCAGCTAGTTCAGCCAACATCTAGTTGGGAAATTTAGCCAGAGATATGAGAAGAAAAATTTACGAAGGTGTTTAAAAGGCTAAGCGTGCATGCGACATCGAGGGTGGCAAATGTAGCGAGACACACCCATCTCTGTTGATGTCACCCAGGCTGTTCAGAGACAGACCGATCTAGCGAGACACCCATCTGTGTTGATGTCACCCACGCTGGTCAGAGACAGACCGATCTAGCGAGACTCACCCATCTCTGTTGATGTCACCCACGCTGGTCAGAGACACACCGATCTAGCGAGACTCACCATCTCTGTTGATGTCACCCAGGCTGGTCAGAGACAGGCCGATCTAGCGAGACTCACCCATCTCTGTTGATGTCACCCAGGCTGGTCAGAGACACACCGATCTAACGAGGCTCACCCATCTCTGTTGATGTCACCCAGGCTGGTCGGAGACAGACCAAACTAGCGAGGCTCACCCATCTCTGTTGATGTCACCCAGGCTGGTCAGAGACACACCGATCTAGCGAGGCTCGCCCATCTCTGTTGATGTCACCCAGGCTGGTCGGAGACAGACCGAACTAGCGAGGCTCACCCATCTCTGTTGATGTCACCCAGGCTGGTCAGAGACAGGCCGAAGTGTCCGCGAGAGTACGGGCCGAACACGCGCGTCGATGCTACGAAGTTGTGCTGCACAAACAATCATACAAAAAATCTACGTTACAAGCGAACACTCAACGCAAAAACTTTATTAATAAGTGTAAAGTTTTCATTTGTAAAATAATCATACAAATCAGAAGAATAATAGCACAATTTTTTTAATTTAATCGTAACGGTCGCAAAAAAAGGGGAAAAGGCGACAAATGAAAAGCAATCGGGCAAAATTATACAACATTAAAATGATATTCATACAAATATATGAATAGTGAAAGAGGTTATTCTACACAAAAATAATTTTGTATTCAACCTGTATAAATGAATTGTCTGAAGACTAAATAATGATAGGAACATTCATAACAAACTCGCATAAATCGAATTAAAGATGAGATTACGCAAATTAAATGTTCAGTCAAATTTAATTATTTCATACTCAATTAATTAACTTTAATTTTCCAGGTTAAAAAGAAAAACTAAGATCATATTTTAGGAAATAGTTTACGGAGTAACAAAAGCTTGAAGATGAAAATTACTCATCACTTATTGTGATAAGTAATTAATAAAAAAATCACTTATCGTGAATTAGTCAAAAAATTAACAGATACATAATCAATCATTAAGATTTACCTGCGGTGTCTGAAGGTATGTGGCCACCATTCCATTCTCAATTTTATTTTTAACGTAAGATCTTTGCCCATTTTTCATTTTACCGGAACTAGTCGAACGAAGGTCAAAATCCGAACCGAAAGGAGCTCCTGTTTGAAATGATACAGCATGCATAAATTAATATGAACTTCGACGAATAAACTTCGAGCGAATTATTTTCAGTTAAAAAATGCACTTTTATAGAGTCATATAATAGTAAAATTGACAATAGACCATTTTTTGAGACAAATAGTAAAACGTTAAAAAACATTTTATATCAGCTTTGTCACATGGAAGAAATATAGCAATCTTTTCTTAGTTGTGCATCTGGAATTTGACAATAGAAATACTACGAACAGCGATTTTACTTTCCCATACAAAAATCTGTAATGAGAATTGTACCTAATTTGAGTACCACAATAGGAGTACACCCCTATTCGAAAATGTTTGATGACAATTGTACTTAATCAGAGTACCACAATAGGAGTACTCCCCTAAACGAAAATTTGTAATAAGAATTGTACCTAATCTATATACCACAATAGGAGTACTCCCCTATTCGAAAATTTGTAATGAGAATTGTACCTAATCTGAGTATAACAATAGGAGTACTACCCTATTCGAAAATCTGTAATAAGAATTTTTCCTAATCTGAGTACCATAATAGGAGTATTCCCTTATTCGAAAATCCGTAATGAGAATTCTACTTAATCCGAGTACCACAATAGAAGGGAGACCGCCATTCTATCTATGACACTAGAGAGTCTCACCCTCAGCGGAGGCAGACCCAGTATACCAGGGCGCCCCCACGATGATGTCGTCAAGTTGGTCCCCGTTCACGTCTGCCACCGCTACTGAGTAGCCGAAGTAGCTGCCCAACTGGAGTGGTAAAACAAAACGCGATCTGGTTCACGATTGCTGAACATAACGGTACGAAAAACAATTTTTTCAGTACGGGACTTCCTTTCAGAGCCGTCCAAGCAATTTATCAAGCAATTTACGGAGCAATTTTCATCAAGCAATTTACGAATTTTAGCCCAATTTATTTCGACATACGCCTTGTTTATTAAAGTTCTAAAATCACTTCTAACATTTATAAAATCTCATGCTCAACTTTATTATCATGACAAACAATTTCCTTGAGGTCTCCAGCAAATTAGGATCAGTTATGTTCGGCAGTAGAGCCGCATACTACTTGACTCCTTATGAGTGCTGCCTGAACTTTATCATCAGTTCGTAATATTCATGGCTGCTATATCATGTCATTATTCACATATTCAAAAGCATATTCACAAAGTATATCAAGGATCACATATTCACCACTATGACCAGTGTCACATTTTCACCTATTATATATAGTGTCACATGCAGGTCCATTTACCTACTAACCTGATCACCAGTGATATTCGAGAGAAGGGTCAGCCTTTCATTGAAGATCTGCACTTGTCCACGTAACTCTCCACCTCTAGGCCGCCCTATGACGATGTCTTCGGTGGCACCGTCATCAAAACTGTCGCTGCCTACAGTCGTGTAGCTGTCGGTGTCCCGATGACCGGGTGGCGACAGAGCGCCTCCCAGGCGACCGCTGGCGACTGAGTATCCCAAGTACGTCATGTCTTGAGACTGAGGCCCTTCCACAGTCGATGACTGGTCTTGTCGGCTCAGTAAATTCTGCTGAAATACCTGCCCTATAAGAATAGAGTACCGTCATTAGGCCGTGTCTTGGGACTGAGGCCCTTCCACAGTCGACGACTGGTCCTGTCGGCTCAGTAAATTCTGCTGGAATACCTTCCCTACAAGAATAGAATACCGCCATTGGGTCGTGTGCTGAGACTGCGGCCCTTCCACTGTCGATTACTTGCTTTGGCGGCTCAGCAAATTCTGTTGTAACACCAGTCCCGTAGGAATAGATTGCCGCAATTAAGTTTAGGTACTAATCATTGGGAGTCGGATAATGTTTTGGAAAGAAAGGGACATTAAAGAGAAATGCTGCATGATCATTTCTGTAGATTCTGATTCTTAGAAGCATAAAAAAATGAAAAGCTTAGACAGCCTGGTAAATTTGTCTGAGTTATGTTTTAACCCAATATCTATTTTCAAGTCAATAAAATTAAAAGAATCGACGACAAGCCTATTCCTAGATACTATTATTCTAAATATAACCAAAATAATTATATTCAACTGAATTCAAGATTTGTACGGATGTTATGGTAAGCTTATGGGAAGTCGTGATCGCGCTCTGTTTTTGCCATTTTGCCAAAAACTCTACCAACTTCTATGCAATATTCTTGTGCAGCACAATTTTTTTGTCGTGACGAGTATCAATATTAATAATAAAATTTTTGCAAGAAAACCAATCTTCAACATGGTTAAATTCTGATTTTGAACAAAGCTTATTTTAATGATCTGTATTAAGCTTACTCTCTGAAAATTTAGCCCTGCGTCATAGAAAAGGTAGATGGATTAATATCAGGATTTTAACTGGCTTCATTAGGCTGAGAATGAATTCGAATGGAGCATTCATTTTAAATATTACAACAAAAGATGCTCGATTAAATGAGATGCAAAGCTCGTCCAGAACTAGTTTGGTGGTAGTTAATTCAACAAAACAGAGTATGAACCAGCATTTATTTCAATTAATTATACTGTCGCAGGTTCAGGGCAGGTAGCAACATAAATAAACCTCAATTTAGTTTTAAATGAATTTGCATTTATTCTCCAGTTTAACAACACTATATTTTTAGCAGAAAATACATCGCGTACGCAACAGAAACTGCTTAAAATAAAAATATAATTTTGCTCGCATCTCGAACGAAGCTTCATCAACGATGCATCTTTGTTATGATTAAAATCAAATCTCTTGACGCGAGCTTTAAAATTAAATCACGCCTGCAAAACATCATCGCTTCGAAACTACATCCACTCAGTCTGTGTCTGCTATCAACCGCAGACGCAACGAAAACTCGGATATTATTGGCGCCAATAATTCAGTGCGAACATGTAGACGTCTTCAGCCGCACCAGCCGAGGCCTAGATCTATGGCTCTAGGAGGGAGACTAGCGGTGCTAGAATCACCAGCCAAGGCCTAGATCTGTGGCTCTAGGAGGGAGACAAGCGGCGCCAGAATAACCAGCCGAGGCCTAGATCTGTGGCTCTAGGAGGGAGAGAAGCGGCGCTATAGAATCACCAGCCGAGGCCTAGATCTGTGGCTCTAGGAGGGAGACTATATAGCGGTGCTAGAATAACAAGCCGAGGCCTAGATCTGTGGCTCTAGGAGGGGGGAGAGAAGCGGCGCTAGAATCGCCAGTCGAGGTCCAGATCTGTGGCTCTAGGAGGGAGACTATATAGCGGTGCTAGAATAACCAGCCGAGGCCTAGATCTGTGGCTCTAGGAGGGAGAGAAGCGGCGCTAGAATCGCCAGTCGAGGTCTAGATCTGTGGCTCTAGGAGGGAGACTAGCGGTGCCAGAGATCGTCGCACTGTCATCATCCCTCAACACTAGCCAAGCAAGCGTGTTTACCAGCCCTCGACGGTGTCAGCTCATTTCAGGAGTCCTTCGATGAAATAACTCACACGGGATGCCCCGCCCTTACAACAACTCAGATGAGCGAAGGGGCCGAACTTAGCGAGCTCGCATGAAGCTGACAATTAAGAAAAGCTTCACGTAATTGGACGAGTTAACGTAAACAAAGGTTAAATATAGATAAAATTTACATTTTAGAATGTTTTGAGAATTTTTAGGATAAGAATTTAGACAGAAGTAGTAATTTCAACGAAAAGTATTTTTTAGTTAAATACTACCTTTGGGTTTCTATAGTAGAAGATTTTGTCAACACCACAGTCAGGTTGTGGCCAATCAACTCCATTTGATTCAAGTTTAAAACATCTTCAGCTTATCCATAACTCAACAATTCAATAAGAGTTATCGATTAGTCAAGAAGAAGCATGAACGTAATTTTAATTTTTATTGAACTTTCGACCGACTTTATCAGAGAATAAAAATTTCATCGATTCCATCACAAAAATTAACCTGATTGTGATAGAAATGCTCACTACTGCAAAGAAAATAGAAGAATGTTAGTGTGATGCGTTTATGGTTAGGATCCGCAGAAGCGAAAACAAAGTTTGCATTACGAGTGACGAAGGATACGATCTCCGCAGGGCTAACGAGACGGCAGCATTAGTGGGATTAGGTCGTCTATAACATGGTACGTGATTTGATCCGTCCAGATAATGAGTCTCGCATAGTCAAGCCCTAATTACTGACTATTTTGCGGCCAATTATTGACTAAGAGCACAAATTGCAATATCTCACAGCACGGACACGGTACATGCTTGTTATCCTCAGGCATGCCATTCTGTTTACGAAAATTTAAGGCTCATTTCCTATTTCGGAATCGTAGAAATTGTGCTCAATTCAGGTTTAAATATAAAATACGATTTCATCGCAATTTTCATTTGGACATTCCACAAGATTCCACGTCAACTATATCAGCTTCAAAATTTTCAATGTTTGTTTAATTGAACACTAATAATGGCGCATAGAAAAAAGATTTCCAACTCTACACGAAACGACAAGCTTAGGCGCTTAGGTTAGAGCCCGGCTCGGGTGGTTAAAGGTAATTAATATCTGATTAATAATTCAACACATAATAACGACCACGCAATAACATCTAAGGAGTTCTGCGGTTGCGGCAATGCAGCAAAAAACTGTAAAATAAGTATAAAACTCGGAATTTGTGTCTTTCATTTAGAACTGTGACTAATATTTAAAACGGTGACTAATATTTAAATACGTCAACTTCTTGGGGCACAATGAGTATATTACAACATGCAAGGAATGCGAAAAAAATAACTTTCAGAAATTTTTGAGAAAAACTTGTGCCTAAAACTAGACAATCACAAAATAAGAGAAACTCGTAATTGTCCGAGAGTAGTTTATGGATACAAATTCTCATGTGTTTACCAGCAGACCTAGTTAGCTATGAGTCCACTGTGTCACTGGGAGCTTGACTCAGACGCTGAGTCGACAGCTTATACAACATATATGTCACGAGGACAAGAACCTGGTGTACGGAGGTGCGAAGTCTATAAATGGGCAGGGAGCCTTAGTAAGGCCCCCAGTAACTAACGAGCACGTCGCAATGTCACTTCCGTTTGAGTTACTCCGACCTAACGGTCGATGTCTTAGCCTATACCTGTGTATCGTATCTCTCATGTATAACCATCCAGACTCAAGATAAGCTCTCTAGACAGATGGTGGCTTACTTATCCCTTACGCATTTAGTCAACGAATGCGTGTCCTGAAGTGGGGTGGCGCTTAATATAGCGCCTGACATAATTACAGAGGTAGGTGTAGGCACTGTACGAAGCGATAGCGTGGTCTAGGCCGGCAGTACCCAACCCAGCCGTTCTGGCACATTCTAGGCCAATAAAAACTGTATTTATATATTCAATACTTTTCGAAAAAAAATTTGCTAGATAATAGTGCTAACATGGATAACTCACCTTGCCAATACCAGCTGCCGACGGCGCCAACAAACAGCTGCTTGCCGTTCTGCACACGGAAAATAAATTTAAGCCGCACATGAATCTATGATAAAAACTAATCAGATTTATTTATTTATGTTGGAAATAAAGCTAGGAATGACAGGAAGCACCAGACACGTAAAGACACGAAAAAATTCATAAAAGTTATTAGCGATTTTCTAAGCGAATTTTTTAGCTGATGGAATTCGGATAAAAAAATAAGATTGTAATTCAATCAATGAAATAGAATTGTATTGCAGATTAAGTGCAAAATACTTCGTCAATCGCAAGCTTCCAAAGAATTTCATAAAGGTAAGAAATTTTCACGTTAATTTTGGGGAGAAAGAAAAATAGCAAAGAAACAAATATTTCTCTTTAAAAATAGTCCCATTGCAAGGTTTGAGTAGAGCTTATTTGTCTAAGCTTCAGAACTAAAATAGAGGAAATAAATCACTCAGTTTAACGGGCAAGAACTGCACGTTTTCATTTATCAACAGGATGAAAAATCGGTCACCTTGGTGAGTGTGGCCGCGAAGCCCGCTTGGCAGGACCCCTGGCGGTGATAGCCCCAAGCTCCTGCGAGGTGATATGGAAATGTCATTAATAAGATGAAATTATATATAAATCATTGAGCAAGGAGATCTTAAATCGAATGAAAGTTCGACTCAACCATCGGAAATTATATGAAAAATCACTAAATTATTAATAAAATAAATTTTGAAATCAATCAGTGGAAATCGTTAAAAAAAATCAGTAAGGTATGAAACATGTGGGAATAGATCAACCATATCACTGTTTATCAAATTTCCCTATGAATTAGTATCATAACAACAAGCAAGCAATTTTTGGACAAGAAACATAATTTATTCGCATGTTACATGATCCAGATTGTCGGGATGAAGAACCATTGAATTAAGAGCTACACAATCAGAACATTCAAATGTCATTATACAGAATATAAACAACATTGTACGTATAAACATTAATTGAGAGCTCCACAAGAGAACATTCAAACGTCATCATACATAATATAAACAACATTGTATAAACATTAATTGAGAGCTCCACACTCAGAACATTCAGATGTCATTATACATAATATAAACAACATTGTATAAACATTAATTGAGAGCTCCACACTCAGAACATTCAGATGTCATTATACATAATATAAACAACATTGTATAAACATTAATTGAGAGCTCCACACTCAGAACCTTCAAATGACATTATACATGATATAAACAACATTGTATAAACATTTGAATTATAAACAATTAAGAGTTGCACTCTCAGAACATTTAAATGTCATTATATATAATATAAACAACATAGTATAAACATTTGAATTATAAACAATTAAGATCTGCACTCTCAGAACATTTAAATGTCATTATATATAATATAAACAATATTTTATACACAAATGAAGTGGCCCACCGGTCATGCATGGGGCGTAGAGCTGAGGTGTGCCTGTCATGGTCTGGATGAGACACCTCCCCACAGGCTCACGTCTGTCCTTCTTCACACTGAACCACACGTAGCGAGGAGCGCACGACTACAGCATTAAACATACATTGTAAAGCATTTCACAGTAGAAATAAACATTTTACAGTAGAAAAAATATTTTACAGTAGAAAAAATATTTTACAATAGTAACATAGTGTTCCGGTCCAATAAACAAATTCGTTAAAACCTCTACGTCCATTGAACCAATATTTCTGAGGTATATTTTATAATAGAAACAAAGTGTTATGATCCTAAAGTATTTCACCTGAACAAAGGAGATATATAATCATAAGCTGCCAGGACCGCCAAACATAACCGGCGGGAGGCTATTCGCCAGCTACTTGCTGGCTGAAATAATATCATATTAATTTTTGTGCATCAAAGTTTAGGCCGAGTGTGAAAGAAAAGAGGTATTGTAGATCAAGTGACTTCGTCTGGAGATTCTGTCATTGCGGAATGAATGAACGCTGTAGCAAAATTAAGTTTTTCGAAATATTTTTCCAACTCAGAATCTTCATAGCGAATATTTTGTTCAATATTTCGTTCGTCCAAATTGAACTAAATTTGAACATGGATATCAAACGCCAGCTGCTGCCTGATATGATGAAACGTGACTAAATGTGTGAAAAAGTACAAGTACAATAACATTAATATTTAATTAAAAGGGTCCAGCACACAACATAGTTGATAAAATGACCCCATCCTCTATCAACCAGCGATTTTTTCGTTTAATACGCTTTTTTCGTCTAAATACGCTTTTTTTCGTCTAAATACGCTTTTTTCGTCTAATACGCTTTTTTCGTCTGAATATGCTTTTTTTCGTCTGATTACGCTTTTTAGAAAATCTGATATCCTGATCAGGATTGTCGCTTGCGTCTCATTTAAGGGCATGACTAGGACTGGATTAAGGCAGAAGGGCACCTATCGAAATCGTTGAGAAAAATGCAATATCAGATCTCTGAAGCGCTCGCCCTACATATCGGCGTGCTTTTAACAGAAGATCTTTTCTATTTATCCATAACATTGTTCAATTTTTGCCTGGCAAGGGATAAAGCTCGCATAAAAATCATTTAAATAAGACACATAGCGAAATACATAGGATGATTTTTTAATGCTTAGACAAAGATAAGCACCGTAAGTAATATAGAAGCACTTGTATTGACTGTTCTTTCAATGGGTCAAATCGAACCTCGGAAGCTCTGAAAACCTATTGAATTTAATAGAAATAGAGATTCAGCTTTGATGTAGGCGGTGATAATCTACAAGATCAGATTTTGCTTTTGCAAGCTTTGTACTAGAGTTAGCTGCGTTTGGAAGAGCTCAAGATTTTGTTGCTATCAGGTTAGTTGATTTCACACTGAATATTCTCACAAGACTCAGTAGAGCTGTGTTTTCTACCTTTATCTACGGATAAGTATGCTACGATAAGATCAGCAAAAGAATCAGAATAACAATAGCACGCACATGCTCAAGGTATGCGGCTGTCCATTAAGTTTTAGACCTGGTGAATGTCAACACTGAGTACAGAAGCTCTCACAGAACTGCGCCAACCCTGAGCCAAACAATCTCAGCTCTAGAGAGAAACTTTAATTATTTTAGCATGCATAAGAGAAGCATACAAACCCTTCCTCGCGATTTAAATAATAGCTAAGATACAATTTGTAAATTCATTTTACATCATCAAAGTCAAGCGGTAAAAACACTTTATTACATTTCTTAAAAAAATAATAGTTTCCTATTTCATTTCGTTATACGTTCGTTTTCTAGCATGTTTCGACCCAAAATCAACAAACGCAAATTCTAGTAAAGTGGCATTTAAATACATGAAACATTGGTGACTGTTAACGTATCCATTGTTTACGGCGTTTCGGTCAAATTTAAACGTGGTAAACGACCGTAAAAATTTTAGGCATAACCTCAAGTTTTAGATAACAATAATCGATACAGCTGACCTCGATACATGGAATTTAGTGTTTTCCTCGAGTGTAGATTGAAACTTTAAGAAACATTTGATTATTCAGAACTAAATTAAACAATGAAGAGAATTGTTGCCGGTAAAATGCTGTCTGATGAACGCTATCTGCAGCTCGTTAGTGACCAAACGAAGAGACAGCAGAAGCAATTAGCTATCTGTGAAACGTATACCGCTATACCTACACATAGACTTCTGCAAGCGTCTAGTTAAACTGTACACCTACTTCTTTAAACTTGCTTGGAGAGTCGGTCAAAATTATGTTAAAATACGAGTTTTATATCTAACACACAAAAAAATCTCTGTACTATTAAATAATTTAACTATGAAGTTGCTGTAAAATAACTGAAAATTTCATCAATCAGCAACGCAGCGTATCTGCGTTTGCTCAACTGTAACCCAAATTAATAGAGCGAAGATTTAAGACTTTAATTTTTATTCTTCTCATCAATTTTCGAAAGCGTTATTCTGCAAATTTGCATACCATGAAGTCATATCAAAATGATATTTTTTTAATTTCTGAATGTTGTGTGTTATTTCAGCTTACGATATCATGTTTAATTGTTTGCATTAAAAACAAAGTAACTCTGGATGGATGCACGTTGTTTCATTGCAGAGAAGCTATAGGAGCGCTTGCGAATAAAAGCATTTGATTTGCCGATTAGTTTGCTAACCATCAAGCCCAAGCTTTTTGTTTTATTTATTGAATAAGATTATAAATTCCTCCAGTTGTTTCCTTTTTGGCATGAACTGGGAATGCACCGAACTGGACCGAACAGAGCTATGAAACACGCCGTTAACTTTACACACATTGACTGCAGTGAGACTATCGTACACAACGGAAGCAAGCATTAGCGGTAATGTACGTAGCAGTGCACTCATCCCATGCATCCTGCTACACGCACACCTCCCATATCTCGTGCCGTTTGTTGGCAACATGTGATACTATTGCAAGCAAGACTAAACAAATGAATGAGAAATAATTTAGTATATCATTGTTTATTATATAGCCACGTTGATAAATTATTTTTTATGAGTGGAAATGAGTGAATTCAATATAGCCTGTGGTAAGACAGCGATTATCCCATAATACTTATGTATCCCATAGTACTCAATATTTTGGAAGTCAACGAGAATAATTTAAAATAAAGAAAAAAATATTAAGAAATAAATTAGTAATAAATAAATATTTCCTCGCCACATGGAGCAAGAAGCCGTATAGCAGCAGCAGCTGACTGCTTGGCTGGCGTTGCAACGTTAATACCTTCGCATATTGAGTCAAGTGCGGTCAACATATTCCGTTTATATTAACAAGGGCAAGGTAGTCAAACCTGAAATTTCGTATTTTTTCATTAATAAATTATTACAATTATTTACGTTCTACGTACACAGTTATCTAGTTCATTACAATATCCGAAATTGAAAAAATACACTTTGGGCTTGACAAATGATGTTGGTCAGATCATGTAAGCTTGCAAACTTAGTTCTATTTTTCAAAAGCTAATGAAATAAACTTATCTGCTCCCGTTTTGTTTTTTACCAATTGAAATAAGTTTGATTATGTAAAACTTTTGAAAATGGATGCAGCACATCAAAAAATGAACAAAAAAAATAAGATAAAATAAAATAAACTGACCTAAATTTGAATGAAGTTACTACGAAGAGTTGTCGACGACAAAAGTTATTCTTAATCAAACTACATTTTTACCAAATATTCTAATAAAATATAATGAGTTAGTAACTCACCACGAGCACCCCGGCCTTGCTCACGACTGTCGCTCCGAACCACTGGTCGCTCTTGTCGTCCACTTGTTGTTGTCCTTCCCAGCTGTTGCCTGATCGTTAGTATGTTTTTGTTATCTATTAATCAAATGTAATTGAATCACGATACTTCATTTTAATACTGGTTAGCACACTGTGTAGGACTGCAAAGGCACGACTGTGCCTACGCTCGGTACGATTGTAGCGTAAAATTCTGCCGAGTGACAAGGATTGAAGAAATACGGTACATTTTGGTTATTGTACTCGGCAAAGAACAAATGGTGAACTAGAAAAAAATCTCTTCAATTATACCTACAGAAGAGACTTTAATCGAAAATTCAACTAATTAAATAGTTTTTTTCTATAAATGAAATCAAGCATTTATTGCAAATCAATAAACATAGTACGCTAATGCATGAAGGACAGCAGTTTTTCAACATTTGAACTGAACTATTTAACAAAAAAATACCCAATTAAATGTAGATGGCTAAACTATACCGCGCGTGTTGACGATGGCTATACCGCGCGTGTTGACGATTTAAACGAAGAAAGTACATATTTCAGTGAAACAAGTACCTACATATACATCCTTTAAGTGAAAAAAATGAAATCAAACTATCAAAGATTTCAATTAAATAAATTAATTGCATAAGTAATGAGTTGATCCTTTGAATGCATGTAACAAGTTCGTAGCTAAATAAAAAAAGTGTACAATTTGATATAGAAACTACGAAAATCAATTAATAATGTATTTGAAGTAAGAATTTCTAGGAAAAAGGAACGCAATTGAAAGAGAAGGAATAATAATATTTTGTAAGTTCAATAAGGGGAAAATTCAATGCAAATACGATAATTGAAAGCAGGTATATAAAGGAAGAGAGGACGCAATTTAATATCAGAGTTATTACCAGGTAATGAGAGCAAATATATGGACAAACACAGCACGTCATTTCATGAAGAAAAATTGAATTTTGCTGAATACGTGATGTAATCCTATTGAATGAAAGACGAAGTTCTGGTCAATATATATAAAGTAATTTTACTAGTAAATGCAGATCATAATTTCAGATGGTACTAGGCAGAGTTCATACTTTTAAATGGAGCGCAACAACTCTAGATGACGTAATTAATAAACGAATTCTAGAGTTTACATGTCCTACTCTAGAGCAGTCCCCCTCACCGCGCGTGTCGAAGGGCAGAGCCGCGCAGTCGCCGGCGACGACAGGCGAGCAGCGGTACACGGCGCCCCCGCGCGTCACGCCTGGAGCGTCCGTCTGAGCCCGGGGCGCCCCAACCACAACCCTGCGCGTTAATAATTATTAATATAATAATAATTATTCATTTAAATTCATTCCATTGGCCATGAAAATCTCACTTGGTTCCTGCATGATTATAAACACGTTTAGTTATGCTTTGAAATTACTATTATTTCATATTAGAGCTTATTCTTTTGGGCAATTAACATTTAATAGATAATAGTTATTCGTTTAAGTTCATTTCATTGGCCATAAAAATCTCACTACGAACCCGGAATCTCGTATAATTCTATCGCAAAATGGATGCATTAATTCACAGTCTACCGAAAAATTTATGAAATTATTACAAATTCAAAACACTTGCGACTCATAAACAAGATTTTCTAGCCTGATTTTACGACGCATGCCACCCGTCAACTCGGTGTCCGGCGCAGGCGCATAACACGACTGGTCCGGCTTTCGACTGGCCATAACGAGGGCGTCAACTAGAAATTCTGCAGGTGACAGAAGCACAGGCGCGCCCACGCTTCTTTTTAAATCTCGTACTTCATGATTGATTTTAAAATGACCAAAGACTGCCAGCACACGGACACGAACAGGCGTAACCCTTGAAAAAGTCAATCACTAAAATGGCGCACAGATACAAGATCAGCGTGGTGCACCTTGAACAAAATTCAATGGTCATTCTCATGTTCAGGGTTCCTGCCATATCTGACTTTGGAATATTCTGAGCTTTCTGCTGGCACCAAATGCCAGAGATATATAGGATATTATAACAACAATTGTGTATAGAAATATTACGATATACTAGTTTTCCTACATAATGAACATCTGTGCGTTCGCTTTTCAATTGATGATATATAGCTGAGGTTGCAGAAAATTACGAAACACGGAAACGATCAAATCACAATTCTTTGACAAGTAAAAATAAAAGTAATTAAACCAGAAGTGAACTTAACATAAAAACTATTATTCTATAAAATGATCGTAAAAAGGTAAAAATCCATACGAAAAGAAGGGAAAACTAAAGCAGAAATGAACCTTTCAATCTGCCATATCCAAAGTTTGACAACGTGAATACCACTTGGCTTACGAGAGTTATTCACCAGTTTAACTGTATAGGTTTATCAAAGCATTATTATAAGTTTTTAGGTAGTAACAATTCGTAGTATTCTGTTCCTTGTACCCAATCCAGTTTTAAGGCATAGTGTAGCCATCTTCATTGTTTTCTCTCTACAAAGCCCATCTCGAAGTAATTATAACCCGTGAAGATGTGCCGATATTGACGCAACCCCGTCGCCTCCTTGATCATGAATTGCACATTTTACACGACGAGGTTTTCAGGTCTGGTAATAAGACGCCGCTTTTTTCCTTCTACTTATCAAGATATAAGACTGGCCCGTCACTTACATTTGCTCGATCAAAAATGATCGTACTTTTTTCAACCATATTTTCCAAGGGAAGATGGCATGTAGTGGAATCAACGATGTAAACGAGTTTGAAACCATACAAATTTGGTTGAACCTTCAGTTGGATGAGATGTACGTGTCGATACTTAAATATGCCTGATTTCAGTCACAGGTCAAATATTAAAGAAGGCTCTTCCAAATTGTATGACCGAAAAATACACTAAACAATTTTTGTCTTCAATATAATATAAATATACTGAACAATTTTTTTTTCAAAATCATTTATCCCCGGCAGAGTGTAATGGACAAAGGCTTCATATGAACGTGATATTCAGACAGTTGTGGTGTATTCTACAGCATTGCACTTCATGTGACTCGAACATATATAGGCAAGCCTTCAAATGAGAAAAGGAGAAACATACGCAAACCTGGAAATGAGAAGAGGAGAAACATAGGCAAGCCTTGAAATGAGAAGAGGAGAAACATACGCAAGCCTTCAAATGAGAAGAGGAGAAACATACGCAAACCTTGAAATGAGAAGAGGTGAAACATACGCAAAGCTTGAAATGAGAAGGAGAAACATACGCAAGCCTTGAAATGAGAAGAGGAGAAACATACGCAAGCCTTGAAATGAGAAGAGGAGAAACATACGCTTAAGGCTTGAAATGAGAAGAGGAGGATCAATACAAGAACGTATACATGATCCGCATCCCCTCAGTAAGTGCGGCTCTGTGAACGCTTTTATATAGAGCTCTTAATGACCATGGAACACACGTTCTCACGAAAATATGCATTGCCACTGATAAAAAGTTATTAACTACAGAAAGTGTACTAATGGTCGAGTCATTCATGCATACAAGATACATTGACAATAATACACAGTCACTAACATAGTAATCGTCGTATAAACATTCAGTGCATAAAATAATTGTCGTTTACAGTTAATTATTTCGCACATTTACGTTATCGTGTTGCGTAGATTGATTAATAAATAAGTTCTTTACCGCGAGTTAAGCAGCCAATTGAATACATTAATGGTAAAAAATATTTACTTCAATATGATATAATTATTAAATGCACTAACAATTTTAAATTAATTATTACTAAGTAATGTAAACAAAATGATAAAAAATGTCAATGTGGAACCATTCAATCTTAATTAAATTAAAAAAAATTATCAAGCTCATTTTAATTTTGCGTGCTACCCGAGCAATTTCACTTCCGTCAAATCATGTTCCATTAATTAATACTCATATTAAATTTTAACACGCGAAGACTTATACAGTCTTCGGGCGTCTTGACTTTTATACAAACAAACATTGCAACCACACACTCGATTTGGAATGAACGTTTAGTTGCCATACGTTCATTTTGTTAGCTTTATTCGCTTCGTACAGGTTTGTCGAGGGCAGCAATTACCACATGTTGTTGTGCTGTGTTACGGGATTAAACTCCCTTTATTAGTTTCACTCAAGCGCGTTATGCACGAGTGTCACTGAGGGCAAATTAGGGACCGCGCATTTAAGAGCACGTTCTAGATAGGATAATTTACATCCGGATAAGAAAATGCGCGAGCATTGTGGTTGAAATTATCCATTATGAAATGTATAATCGGAGCTATCTTACACACATTTTCTACAAAATGATTACCTAAGGAATTTGAAATAAAAAATTTTGCGTTGTCTTCAAAACGTTTGCAAAGCTTAAAATTTAAAATATTTGTCATATCGTCAACACATGCCGTTTGCAACGCTGAAATCGAGAAATGTAAATGTAATGTAAATGGAATGTAAAGAAAAGTAAACTGGCTCGATGTCGCCTGATATTTGACGCTATATTGAACTAATTTGTAATTCGGCTACTCCATCAGGACCAACGAAGCAGAACAACAATGAGACAACATTAAACTTTATTGCTGGCGCATGATTTTTTCAAGATCCTTGGTTATAAAATTCATGAACGAAACGCTTTAAAACGGATTCTTTAGTAGGCGAGAGAATTCACGAGGGGTTTAATACTCTGTTTCAAAGAAGAATAAATGTTAGATTACAAAATTTAAAACCTATTCGCACAAATCTGACAATCCCATTGCGTCCTTCATTTCAAGATGGTAGAATTTGATCATTTTACGAGGAATTCTTTGGGCAATGAACAGCCAAGAACCACGGAAGCCAGAGGGAGGTCAGCCTCGAGCTATGGCCAGGGATGTGCGGTCAGACGGACTGTGTTTTAACGAGCAAATGTGGCGGGTAGCCATAAAAGCATATTGTTGCCCAGGCAGAATCTGGGGCATTGGCTTGCATGGTTGGCCAAGGAAAGGTGAGCTGGGTTAGGACATGGAATGACTCCTTATGAGAGTAGGAAAATAAAATATTACTCCTAGATTAGTCTAAATCCAGGATGCTATTAAAGGATATAAGACATATAAGAATTAATTGTTTAGGGAATGACTCCTTATGCGAGTAGAAAAATAATATTACTCCTAGATTAATCTAAATCCAGGATACTTTTAAAGGATATGGGAACAACAGGAATGACTCCTTAGGTTATGGAATGACTCCTTATAATATTAGGAAAACAGAGAATTGTTGTTAGCTTAACATAAATATGGAGATAATAAAGATGCGGCGGGGGTCTACCTGTAGGAGATGAAATCTAAATGCAAAAAAAATACAATACAGAGAAACATTTATGTAGAAAAGAGTAGGTGCTTTAATTTGATTACAAAAGACGCGTCACAAATAATAAAAATTAACTTAATCATAACGGATACTCACATTTTCGTAATGAAAAAAACACATTCATATCTGTTGCATGCACTATTCAAAATACTTGTACACTATTCAACATTGTACTATATATTGTGTTGAAATGAGTGCATGCATTCGCATGGCTGCAAGCAATTCGCCAGGGTTCGTGGCAACAAATTGAGGTCCTTCATTAAAACTTTTGACCGGCCGCTGGGTCACGAGGTGCGGACAAGGACTAATTGTTCAATTAGTTGCCACACATGCCTAACTTGACAAACTTCAAAACGTATTTTTTACGTTGAAAAAACCGCATATATGTAGGTATGATGAGATCGTCAAATAAATTGTTTCCTTATTAATATTCAAGTACGAGTATAAATGAATTTACCGTAAATTTCGATGCACTAATGGAGGCTGTAAATTGTAGTTTCGAATTGATAAATCAAGAATAGGGCACTTAAAGTATATGGTGGACGAATTAAAAAAACGATGTTCTCATAGGAGCAAAAAATTTAATTTGTTTTGAATTTAATTTGTTCCTGTAACGTAAAAGTAAATTCTTAGACAAGCAGCAAAATGTAATCAAAAGAGGTGATAAAATCCTGACACTACACCACGAACGAGGTTTCAAGAGGTGAATAGTAATTAATAACCAAGTTATATGGACGGTGATGGCCGGTCTTGGGAGGTTTACGAGCCTCAACGATTGCAATGGCTAACACTTATTAGCTGATTCAGTTAGGAGATAGAGATAAATAAAACCATAGCAATAAATTTATTTGACAAGATGTTATATAAATACATAAGAGAAGCATAATAGATGTTATATATAAATACATAATAATCAGTATAAATTAGAAAAATGGAGGCTCTGATCAATTAATGTT